CTTATGCTAAGATCAGATTTAAGTGTTTATCATCCTACCATTCATCATCACAGCCCTAGTAATAGTTCACCTTTTATTCCTTCATGAAACAGGATCAAACAACCCAATAAATTTGTACTTAGCACTTCCTTCTAAAAGATGGTAAATGTTAGAAGGCCTAAACTGTTGGATGCCTAAAATGAATATTGTTTCCATTTTGAAAGGTTTTCATTAATTATGTTAGTTAACTTTTCACTGCTGTGCCAAAATACCTGAGGAAACTACTTAAAAGAACAAGGATTTGGTTCCGCTTCAGATGGTGGGCAGGAGACAGAGAGCAACAGGAAAGGGCCAGGGACAAGGTACAGCCTTCGAAGCACACCTTGAGTGACCTGCTTCAGCCGGCCAGGCCCCAGTCCTCATAGCTCATTCAGAATGAATTTACCCATGTATTAGCCCATTGATGAAGTTAGCACCAATGAGATAGTCAACTCTCAATAGCACCACCTGCTGGGGACCAGCCCTTCAGCATGTTAGCCCTTTGGGATGGCATCTCAGAGCCAAACTATAGCAGTAACTGAGGTGATTTGCAGATGTTTTCTGGTTCTGTTACCATACATCCAGACATTCTTGTTGATCTCATTTTTAATATAATATTTTATTAATTCAATGAGACTTTTATACACGCATAGAGTGTATTTTGAGCACATTCACCTACATTTCTCAGCTTAACTCCTCCAAGCTCCAGTCCCCAACCCCCTTCCAACTTCATATCCTCTTTCTCTCTGTTTTTTTTGTTTTTTCTTTAGCTTTTGTAATTTTTCTTTCTTTCTTTCTATTTCTTCTTTTTTTTTTTTTTTTTTTTTTTTTTTTTTTTTTTTTTTTTTTATTGGCCTGGAACTTGCTGGGTAGGGGGCCAAGGGTCTTGAATTTGTATTTACTCATTTTTGTACGAAATTATGCTGTTATGGGCATTTGTATCCTGCATTTAAAAACATTTTTAGGAGAGCTTTTGTAATGTCATACAACAGTTCTTAATCAAATCCAGACCCCCTCCCCGATCCATGCCCCCCTCATCCCCCCACTAGACCTCATGCCAAGTCCTATCCAGTCAAGCATTTGTACCTAGATGTCCTTGAGTGCAGACAGATCCACAGGAGTCTAGGCAGCCCATGTGGAGATAGCAAGTAAGGCATACTCTCCCTCTTCCAGTAGCAATCAGTCTCCAATAGTTCTCAGTCTGGGGTCGGCCCGCCACCCATTTCTCTCCTCCCCTCTGGGCCCTTGTTTAATTGAGTTGGCCTGGGAAAAATATTTTATTTATTATTTTAATTTTATGTGAATGAGTGTATTGCCTGCATGTATGTAAGTGCATCAGTATTGTGCAATGTCCATGGAGGTCAGAAGAGGGCATTGGATCCCCTGGAACTGGAATTACAGACAGTTGTTAGCTGCCATATGGGTGATGGGAACAGAACCTGGGTCCTTTGGAAGGGCAGCCAGTGCTCTTAACCACTGAGCCATCTCTCTAGTCTGTTGATCTCATTTTTAAAAATTCTTGTTTTCTTTCTTTTCAGGCTATTGTGGACTTTATGAAGCCATTGAAAGTTGGGATTTCAAGAAAATTGAAAAGTTAGAGGAGCACAGATTACTTTTAAGACGTTTACAGCCAGAATTTAAAGCCAGAATTATTCCAACAGATATACTTCCTGAAATATCTGAATGTTTAATTAATCAGGAATGTGAAGAAATTAAGCAGGTAAATTAACATAAAGTGCTAAATTTGGAGGAAATAATTAGAATATGGGAAGTGCCTTCTGTTTTTTGTGCTGTTTGGGACCGTAAAAGATAATTGAAACCCATTAAAGCTCTCTTATGTAAGGCATAATTAGCCAGAATACAGTGTGAATTGAATAATTTTTAATGTCAGACCTTTTTCAAGTTTAACCTATTTTCAGCTAAAATTACCATATTACTTTTCTGAATAGTGTTTTATGCAAATGCAAATTACATGGAATAGTATAGCAAATGAAAAGAAAAGAAATACTAGGCTAGCACTTAAGCATTTAGCTCCTTGGACACAGAATTTGTTACAATCTTAGCTCAACCACTTAACTGTGATATCATCATGGGCAATTCACTTAACTTTTTGAAGCATTTTTTTCTTCATGCCTAGGGAAGGAAAAAATGTAGTACCATATTAACATGATATTTTTAAGGGTTAAATGAGATAATATACCTAAGGTGCTTGCATCAGCTTGATGCATGATAACATGAACATAGTACATTATTAGTAATAAAAATCATAGACATTGTGCTCTGAACAAACACTTGCTGCTATGCTGTTATATCCTCCCAAGCCTCTCCATATGCCGGTCTATCCATAGTGTGGATGGCTATCATTTGGATTAGCTTTTCCCCTGATAGCACTGATAATGATGGATATAAACAGAAGATGAGCAGGTTTGGCTTGACAGGATGCTATCACAAATAAAGGACCAAGATGAAGGAGAGGATGTTGAAAAGCTAGTGATGTAACTAAGGGCCATTGAATTGTCATTCACAGTGATTTCAATCACATACTACTTGAAGTGATATTTCCTTTTCTTTCTATTTTTTTTTTTTGTCTTTGTGAGACAGGGTCTCCCTGTAGCCTCAGCTGGCCTTGGAACTCACTATGTAGACCAGGCTCGCCTTGAACTCACAGAGATCCGCCTTTCTCTGCCTCCCAAGTGCTGGGATTAAAGGCATGTGCATACCACACCTGGCAAGAAGATGCTGTTTTTAATAACATTTCAAAATACCAAGATTGGCTTGACAGGATGCTATCACAAATAAAGGACCAAGATGAAGGAGAGGATGTTGAAAAGCTAGTGATGTAACTAAGGGCCATTGAATTGTCATTCACAGTGATTTCAATCACATACTACTTGAAGTGATATTTCCTTTTCTTTTTCTATTTTTTTTTTGTCTTTGTGAGACAGGGTCTCCCTGTAGCCTCAGCTGGCCTTGGAACATGTGGACCAGGTTGGCCTCAATCTCACAGAGATCTCCTGCCTCTGTCTCCTGAATGCTGGGATTAAAAGTGTGTGTGAATTGATATTTCTTTAGTGAATTGATATTTCTTTAGTGAAAGCTCATAAAAGGAAAACCAGACCATTGATTGATACATTGTATCTGTCTTAGATTTGCTGCACTAAAGGCATGATGGCAGGCGCAGAGAAAATGGTTGACTGTCTTCTTAAATCAGATAAGGAGAACTGGCCCAAGGCTTTGAAGCTTGCTTTGGAGAAAGAAAACAGCAAGTTCAGTGAACTGTGGATGGCCGACGAAGGTGGGCTATTTCAAAGAGCTGAAACGTGCCTTGCCCTCATGGTTCTCCCTGGGGCTTGCCACATTTCCCCATCGTTCCTGTCCATCAGAGGCTCTTTTCTTTCAGATATTCAAGGCTGCGTCTCTGTGAAAGCCCAGGGAAGCTGAGTTCTGGGAGGGAGGGAGCTACTTGCCATGGAACTAGTTTGGTTCTATAGAACTCCTGACAAGGAGGAGCCAGGGAACTGCTGTCATCTAGAATTAGCCTACCTAGACCAAAAGATGCAGAGAAGGCAGAGGTCTGAGTTCAGGTTATCAGAGAAATAACTTGAGAATTCTAGACTTAAAAGTTCAAATTGCAGGACTTACCTTCAGAGTAGAATCTGAATATTGAGAACGCCAGACACTGGGTGGTTTTCTTGCCGGGTGGGAAGCCACCTGGTACCAAACAGCGGGAGTAAAGGAAGAGTTTGCTATCATTAAGCCAATCTTACTTGACTTCTTGAAACTTCTGTCTTGCTTTAAAGCTGCGTTTGATAAACACCTGAATATCTAGTCTTTAAAGCATAAATTGTTCTAGAAACTGTCTATATCCTGGTTTGGGGTTGGTTAGCGTTAAAAGTCATGTCTGCTAAGTCTGTGCTCTTCTGTAATGTGCCTGTGAATCTCTTGGAAGTGTTCTTAAAACGCAGCTACCAACTCAGTAGGGGCTCAAGAGACACAGTGCTGAGAAACTCTGGAAGAGCGTGTTCCTGGTTTTAACATAGTTCTAAGTGACACTGGGATTCAGACACCAAACTGAGACTTCCAGCTGAGAATGCTTCTTTTAGTTTTTTTTAAGGAGTGAAAAGGGGGCTGGTGAGATGGGTCAGTGGGTAAAGGTGCCTGTCACCAACTCTGATGACCGGAGTTCAATCCCTAGGACCCACATGGCAGAGAAAATCAGCTCTCAAAAGTTGTCCTCTGACCTTCACACACTCACTATGATATGTGCGTGCGTGCGTGTGTGCGTGTGCACACAACACCACTAAAATGTTTTTAAAAAACTGAAAGAGTAGCCAGGTGTGGTGGCACATGCCTTTAAAACCAGCACTCAGGAGGCAGAGGCAGGTGGATCTCTGTGGGTTCAAGGCCAGCCTGGTCTACATAGTGAGTTCCAGGACAGCTGGGGCTACAGAGAGACCCTGTCTCAAAAAGACCAAAAAAA